AACAAATCTGCATATATAGACAAGCTCCGTACAAATATCCCCGAGTCGACAGTTCCGTTTGCGCACCGCCCCCGAGCCGTAGTGCATACAGTCCGCGCTCCATACTCTTGAAACCTCTCGCCCGCGCGCCCAGCTCTCCCCTGGCTCACCCCGGCCGAGCAGTCGCCGTTGGTGAGTCATCTTTCCTGGCACCATTCTTGCCCCCTCGCTCCGACGGGGAGGTCTGAGCGATTGTCTTGTTTTGCATTGTTATTTTATTGTTATTGTTCTTGTTATTTTTATTGTTTATTTTTCTTTTTACTATTTTGTTAATATTGTGTTACTGTTTCTTTGAATAAACGTTACTTCTTCACATCTGAAGGTGTGCCCTATTACACCTACTCTCTCCCTGAAGAACGTAAAGTCAGGGCTGTCCTCCGCGGAGTTCCCTTTGAACTCGCCACCGAGGAAATCCTGAAGGACCCTAAGTCCCAGGGATTCCCAGTTGAGGCTGTGCACAAGATGCACAGCAGTAGGGGCAAGAGGTACTCGCTTGCCCTCCTTATTTTGTCCAACGTGCCGGATGCGAAAGACATATTCCGATAGGTACACACTGTGTATGGCCTGTTGAGAGTCAAAGTAGAAGCCCCTTATAGGCGTGGTTTTCCGGCGCTGTGCCACCGCTGTCAACTCTACAGGCATGCGACGGCCAACTGCTTAGCCCCTCTGGTGCATTAAGTGCCTAGACCCGCACAGCTAGAAAGAGTGTCCTCGGCCTCGTGATAACGAGTACCCACCCGCTTGCGTCCTTTGCGAACAGACTGGCCATACGGCCAACTTCAGAGGCTGCCCTCGCGTGCCTCGCCCCAATCTCGGCAACAAAGCTGCCAAAAAAGCACCGCCAACGGTCAATGACCGTACATTCCCGGCTCTCTCATCCAAAATGCCCCTTCAAGATCCATATCGGTCCCCTCAGGAACCCTACAGGCCTCCTCAACTTCGCCCACTAGGGCCCCGACATCAGGCAGAACCCTCTTACGCCGTATACCGTAGATACAGTATACACTGCTATCCGCAATATCGACGTAACAGAGATCGCAATTTGACACGCGACAGAGAGAAGAAGACACGCAAACTGCGCGCTTCCCAGTTCCCTTAGGACCGTCTGCTCGCGCTTACCGAGCACCAACACCTTCTAAACTCAATATAATTAGTCATCCCATTCGTAAGCTGCCTTAATTAGACAGTAATTCTTCCCAGCGGCTACTCGCCGCTAGCGCCCCCCTTTTCACCCAAAGGGGGGTCGCGTTCGATACGGCTTAAAGATCTCTAGCTAGATTATTAAGCCTGTCCCTAAAGGCGGTGTTTAGTGGGTAAAAGTCTCCACATAACCACGCAGCCGGCTACGTGGTATGTTATGAGCATTCACCGCCTCCCTGCCCCGCTTTCCGGAGGGTTATCCATATTGCTTTGGGCGCAAAAAAAAAACAAATACCGGAGCGTTCTTCGCGCCCCTCTGGGAGTGAAACTTCAATACAAACCTCACACTGAAATTTTGTGTGACGCCGGAGCGTCATCTTTAGGACGCCGTCATGCAACTTAAGTAACTAAACGTTTTATACAAAATTCTAATAGATGGCGATATTAAAAGGCTTGGGTGACCATATAAAGAACGTGGTAGAGTTGTACAATAAAACTATAAATAAAAATATAATAAACTAAAAAACTACTTCTCTTCAAATGTTACTTCTCTTCAAAATTAAAGCCTTTTTGGTGGTGATTTTTTAAATGTTTTCAAATGTTATAAGGTAATTAAGTAATTTGTTTTTCTGGTTATGGCAACTTTTAACATTGCAGGCCGGTAGAAGTTTTGAATTTTTTGTGACTTTCTGCTTTCTGTGTTTTTTAAAAGATTGTATTACGGCGCCTCTATACGTTGGCCAACACAGTGGCGAATGTAGTGGCCAATAGCATTGGCCAACGTGTAGAGTGGGTGTTTGGGCTTCATTGGCATGTATTGGAACGATGGCCCACAAGTTGGCGCGAGATCCGTGTAGTATCGGTTTTATACAAAAGATCAAAGGATTATTGGCAGAGTTTGGTCGCCGCGTCCGCACGGTGGCCACGCGTTTAGTTTGTTACAAGCTCGCGGAGTGATTACACGTAACTGATTTAAATTTTATATTCACCCTTTGTAGGGTGGATGCCTCAATTACCAGCGTTTTAGTACCAATTTCAACTTCAAACATTCCTACCACTTTAATTAGCGCGATTTAATTATTTTTAAACATTTTTTTTAATCTATAAGCTATTTATAAAAAAAAATAAACATTTATTTACAATCAGATTATTACGAGAACAATTTTAAAATGAAAAAAAAATGAAGCACGTCATTTATACGTGGTAGAACAGAACCATGCAGTTATATTAGAAGTATAGTTGTAGCACGAATGGGTCGGCTAGACGGGAGAAGGACCACCTTCTCATAGAATACCAGCGTAAAATAGCAGCTTAATGCTGCTGTGTTTCGTGTGGTGAGTGTAGAGAACCGGCGACCTTTTTTACTGGACAACGCATCTGTATTTTTATTCGTAATCGAAGAAAGATGTACATGTCCATGGGCCACAGCAACCACTTACCATCAGGTGGACTCTGTGCTCGTTTGTCATCCTATACTAATAATTAAGGAAGTTGTGCGAGGAAGAAAACTTCTTGAGTTGGTTAATAGTTTGTGCTGATATTATTTCTGATGGCAGTTTATTCCATGCTTCAACCACTCTTTGGCTAAAAAAAGTGCTTGTGTGGGTTATTATGTGACACGGTTTTGTTTAATTTGAAGTGATGTCCCCGAAGATGTGTGTTTGTTGAGTAACACTTGTAGTTAAATTAGAGAACCGAAGACCTTTTTTACTAGTAACGAGGAATTTTACCTTGGTTCTCAGTTATCTTAATCAAAAAGAGATGTAAGTTTCTAAGAGCCATAGCATCCCCATAGACTCTATGCACTTTTATGGTTAAAATATTTTATTCTCAAAAGAAATATACATTTCACTTAATGAGAGGTTATAATATTCAAGTTATAAATGGGTTATGAGCATACAGATAGCTATATATATATATATATATATATATATATATATATATATATATATATATATATATTAACATTAAAAAAGGGAGGAAAGAGTTTCGTGACATACAACTTCTTACTAGTTTAGGCATACAACTTAATACTTCCAATATTATAGTTTTGTGTATTGATGTACCAGTTAGCAATCTTTTAGTAGATAGTAATAGATAAGGTGGGTAGTAAGTAAGGTATTTCTTATCGTTACCGATAACGCTGATTAGCGGTCGGCATATGGACAGGGTCGGATTTAGAACTTATTAATTATATGTTGTTTTAGTTTGCTTTTAAAGATAATAAAACTATTTAATATTTTTATTTCTTGTGGTAGTTTATTATATATTTTAACTCCATCAAAAAGTATGCTCTGCTTACCATAGTTTGTTCGTACCATAGATATGTAAATATTATTAGTGTTGCGAAGTACTTTCTTTCCTTTGCTTTTATTTGTTATAAATTTTAATTGTCTGTGTATTTTATTATCTAAAATTTTCTTTATTAGAATACAAGTATTATAGCAATATGTTTGATAAATATTCATAATTTTGGTTTCACTGTACAGTTTGTCTGTAGGTGTAAAGAAGTTATAATTGAATAATAGTTTTAATATTTTATTTTGGTTTATTTGTAGGTCCTTTAATGTTGTTTTGTAGGTGCACCCCCAAATTTCAACTGGATAATCAGATGTGGTTTGACTAAAGCATTATAAATTGTTCGGCGAACACGGTAAGGAAGGCATCGAATACAACCATAAAGTGAACCCAGTAGAGAAGATAGTTTCGATCTTATTTTGCCTATATGACCCTTCCATGACAAGGTTTTATCTAGTACTAAGCCTAAATATTTCTCTTCGGCTGACTCGTGTATTGTAGAGTTGTCAATGGTGAGAGGGGAATAACTGCAAATGTTTTTGTTTTTGGGTTTAAATATCATGTACGAGGTTTTTGATGTATTTATTGTAAGCAAATTGGATTGGAACCATTTATGTACTATATTTAGATCTACTTGTGCTCGTGCGATAACTTCTTCTATGGAACGTCCAAAGTAGAAGATACAGGTATCATCTGCATATAAAGAAATTTCGCCATTTAATTTAAGATCAGTTATGTTATAATCAGGAAAAGAAGTGGGCCCAATATAGAGCCTTGGGGAATACCGTACGTAATGGGTTGTGGGGAACTTCGGTAGTGATCAATCTTTACAATTTGATATCTTTTATTTAGATAACTTTCAAAAATTTTTAAGGCATGGCCGTTAATACCTATATGAGAAAGTTTCTTTAATAGTAGTGAGTGACTTATTGAATCAAACGCCTTTTTTTAGGTCAATAAAAAATCCAAGCCCTAAGTTTTTTGCATCAATGTTTTTTTTATTTTGGTAATTAAATCTACCGTTGCGGCTAAGGTATTTGACCTAGGCTGGAAACCATACTGACAGTTTGAAATAAAGTTAATTGATGTTAGGTATATATTTAAGCGGTTATATATTACTTTTTCAAAAATTTTGGAAACTACTGGTAAGACAGAGATAGGACGGTAGTTACTGGGGTCACTTTTCGTACCTGATTTGTATATAGGTGTGACTTTAGCTATTTTCAGTTCATCTGGAAATATTCCGCTTTCGAGACAATCAGTTATACAAGAAGTAAGCCTTGTAAGAATTAAGTCCTTAATACACTTGACTACCTTTGTTGTAATGCCATCTATTCCCGAGCTCGTATTAGGGTCTAGTTGGTCAATTATTTTAGCCACTTCATATTCGTCACATTTTTGGAAAGATGAAAGAAAAAAAAGGAGATGAATCCAGGTAGACTTTCATCGAACGGTTATTATTTATTTTGTATTTTCCGATCCGTGATGTTTTTATTGGAGTGTGAATAGTTTTCGTGATTTCGCTAATAATATTGAAGGCATCCCTTTTCATCGTGTAAACGCCTTTCTTCTCTAACTGATCCATGCAATTCGGGAACACCAACGATTATAATATTTTTCTCTCTGTTAGATCTCTCATTAGCTTCACGTAAAAGGTTTTCACGTAGGTTTATCGGTAGTGAATTGATAGGTTCTGTACATGCCTCTCTTTTCAAAGTATTAATTTCATTTTCAAGGGTTTTAATTTTTTGCTCAGTTAGGGTTTTTTTCATTTTTAAATCGTTTATCTCATCTAATATTTTACTGTGTTCTGTAACTAGGTATTCCGTAGTGATTCGTATGTTTTCCATTTGGGTTTTAATCTGAACAACATCCTCGCGCAATAAAATCATATGTGCATTTTGAGATTGTACAAATTCATTCAATAACTTAGTAATGTCACCCTTTAAATCTGTAATATTTTTGACGCAACTGCAGTCCGTATCTGGTTGTTTACGCTTACGCACTGTAGTTTGTTTAGTTTCTGAGTCACGCAGTTTGGTTAGATCTGGCTGTGAACCGCCTGTTTTTGTTGGAGATCTCATTACGCTCATTGTTAATGGAAAATGTTGCTTATTTACTGTCAATAAGGTTAAATACACGCAATGATAGGTGTTAAATACACGCAATGAGTTTTGTGGGTGTAAGAGATGAAAAATGCAACTGTGTTGCTTACCCGCAGGTGTGAGGAAGGAAGCTGCTGCCCGTTGCGCACGTTTTTGGTATAATTGGTAATTCAGTTCTAGCTTGAGTGATGTCAAAGTAGTTTTTAATGTTTAAGCGCGATGGTTGGATTTTGCTTCACTAAAATTAACGAATTATTAAATTACTTTGCAACACGTCTGCTCTGTATGCTCACTGGAAGGATTTTATCACCCTTATTACTCGTATATAAAAAATTGGCGTCCATTTCACATGTATTTTTTACGTGGTATAGCCATGCTGCAGCCATATTAATTGTACAGCTGTAGCACGAATGGGTCGGCTCGATCGGGGAAGGACCACGCTCTCACAGAATACAAGCGTCAAATAGCAGCTTAATGACGCTGTGTTTCGTATAGTGAGTGTAGAGAACCAGATAGACTTTTTAAAGGAAACGAGGCATTTCATCTTAGTCCTCACAGGTGACAACGCATCTGCATTTTAATTCGTAATCGAGGATAGATGTAGATGTCTGTGGGCCACAGTAACCACTTACCATCAGGTGAACTGTGTGCTAGTTTGAAACCCTATCCTATAAAAAATACGTCGATTACTTATAATTTAATCGTACAAGTTTTCGAACCATCATCATTATTACAGCTCTTCACAAGTCCACTACTGAACATCCTCTCCCACAGACTGCCGCAAAGCATGGTCCTGAGCCATTTCCTTGTCATGAGCTTTTCATTTATGTTCTTAGTTATAATTAGTACCTATTATTAAGCTAGTGTTAATTATATTTATTGCTATTGTTTTTGTCTTTCTCAAAAAATAATTAACTTACCAAATAAATTATATATATATATATATATATATATATATATATATATATATATATGTAGAGGACTTTAGACCGGTAGCAGTCCCATCTACTCCAGCCAAGGTATTTGAGTCGGGTATATACAAAAGCTTATATCAAAAGATAAACACACAGCTGTCGGAAGCGCAGCACAGGTTTAGACCTGCTCGGAGCACTGCAAGTAACTGTCTAGCGCTTGTGACCGATATACTACCGGTAGTAGATAGTGGGGAACAAGCTGATACTGCTTATTTTGACTTCAAAAAATCATTTGATTTGGTTAATCATGACATATTACTTAAAAATGGCAGAATTTGGTTTCACCCCACACTTATTGAGTTTTTTCGCTAGCTACACGGCAGATAGGCAACAGTATGGAGAATATGAAGGTTATAAGACAAAATCATATTTTACGTGGTCTGGTGTGAGTCAGGGGTCGAATCTAGGACCTTTGGAGTTTTTAATCATGATAAATGACTTACCCAATGTTGTGAAGAAATCAAGATGTTTGTTATTTGCAGACGACCTTAAGTTATCGATGGATATAGGTAGTTTGGAGGACTGTGACAGTCTCCAAGACGATATAAATAGAGTTGTTGAATGGAGCAAAGATAACAAATTACAATTTAATATCACTAAATGCTCAAACATAAGCCCATAGAGTATATATATTACATTGACAGGACACCTATGTTTAGGGTAATGCAAGTCAGGGATTTAGGAGTAAAATTTTCTGCTGATTTAACGTTTAAGGATCATATTGTTGAAACATGTAAAAAAGGCTTTTAGAACTCTAGGTTTTACGTTACGTACAGTTAACGGTTTCACAAATGTGCAAGCTATTATAGCTTTGTAAAACACACTAGTTCGGAGTCATTTGGAGTGTAATTCAATAATTTGGGCTCCTCATGAGAAGAAGTACGATCTAATGCTGGAGAAAGTACAAAACAAATTTGTAAGGTATTTGTATCTTAAGTCATATGGGGTGTACCCATTTTACCCACTGCAATATCCCACATTATTTGTTCTAGGTATAGTGGGATACAATCAGCTCAGGATAAGGAGAGAACTTAGACTAGTTTCATATATTTTAATGGTTCTTAGAGGTAGGATCATTAACGAGAATATGTTGAATAAGATTAATATTTGTGTTCCGGCTAGGTATATATGGCGGCGGCGTCAGCCAGACCTACTGACCGTCCTTGGATGTCGCACTAACTTACTGCAAGAGGCACTCCTGACGCGAGCGTTACGAACATTAAACCTGATCGACAGAGAAACAGATTTATTCTTTTGTACTCTGAACGAATTCACAAAACTTGCGTTATAGATAATTAGCTATAAGTTAATATAGTAATAAAGGTAATATAGGATTGTAAATAGTGGTTTATCTATTGCAATGGGTAGAAACCTGTAATGTTAGATATAAGTTGGATGTAAATAAAAAAAATTATATATCTATATAATAAATCTGTAGAAAAGTTGTGTCTGTAATTCTAATATTTTTTTTAAGAAAACAAGTACAGGGGACTAAACAATCGGCGTCTATCTTGTAGCTGTAGCTTGTATATCTATTGTATAGCAAACGGAAGATAATTTATTACGATACGGAATTAGTTGTTCGGATTTATTAAGGCTATACCTATATCAATATTTTTATTAATAGTATTGGTGTAGTATAGTATTATTTATATATACACTTATTACTATATACACAAATGTACGATTTTTCCTGAGACAGAACCAAAATTTTTACAAATATATTTTGTTCCTGATTACCATGAACAAGCCAATATAAGGAGATAACATTTTCCAAATTTAAATGCCAATGATATCTCCGAGCTCCAGGGTCAATCCCTATATATCCAGTTTCAAAGCCGTATTAGAGTCAATCCCTCAAGATCAATATAATAATTATAAATTTATTATTAGCGCGGATAAGTGACCTTCAGAGCAACATTCCGGCCGTTATAACTCTCCATCCACCAACAAAGTGGCGTTGGCGTAGTTGGCGAAGTTGTCCTGGTGGATCAGCAATGCGACAAGCGCGACATAATAGTACGTACGCGTGATGATCGCCTGTAACGAATTAGTGAGACTCATCGTTCTTACGACTCTTTACAATACCCACTTATTTACACTCGCGGTGAAGATGGTTATAATTTTACGCTTTATCAAGTTGACCCCACTACAAGAGCACCTCGGCTAGACAGGAAAGTTTCGGCTCTGCAATTTTATTTTTATCTCATGCAAATAAGACAACGTCGTTATGTATATTTACAACGATTTCGTGGTTTATTTAACCAGTTTATTGTTGACATGTACGCGAAAATAGAAACAGAGCGCTTAGTATTCATGTAGAGATAGTTGCGTGCCGAGAAATTTGGGACGTTTAGTTATATTGCCTTCTAGCTTTATCGGGGGTCCGCGAAATATGAATGAACGCGTTCAAGACTCATTATGTTATATTCGCAAGTATGGTAGGCCAGATCTTTTTATAACAATAACTACTAACCCTAAATCGATCGAGATTTCTCAAGAGCTGCTTGAAGGACAAGCACCGTACGATCGAAACGATTTAATTAGTCGAGTTTTTTATTTAAAGCTCAAGTTGTTAATTAACTTATTAACCAAACAAAATAATTTTGGCGCTACATCATGCTACACATACATCGTGGAATGGCAAAAGGGAGGGCTGCCCCACGTATACATTCTTCTATGGTTATTAGAAAAAATTTCGTCGTAATGACGTTGATAATACAATAAGTGCAAAGTTCCCAAATCCTACAAATGATCCTATTCTACAGCAAATTGTTAAAACACAGATGGTATACGGGCCTTGCGGTGCATTAAATAATAATTCTCCGTGAATGAAGATTGACCAATGTTCAAAAAATATCCAAGACCCTTTTTTTTTTTTTTTTTTTTAATTTATTTATGTACACACATTAAGGTACAGAAGCAGTCTTATAGTAATTACGTACAAAGGTTCTACTTATTCCAAATTCGCTGAAATATCTTCCAGTAGACCCATAAAGGAAATTATATTTAAATTGCAAACTTAGTGCATACATTAGTACTACAAAAAATAAATAATATACACAATGTTACGGAAATTATATAAAATAAAACAATAAATAAAAATAAAATAAATCAATAAATAATAATAATAATTGATACGATAGTTACATATGATATATATATATATATATATATATATATATATATATATATATATATATATATATATATATATATATATATATATATATATATATATAAATTAACAGGATGCAAAGTAGTTATCTCTAAGACGTTTCTTGAATATCAACAAAGTTTCGGAATTTCTTATATTTGACGGTAGTGAGTTCCATAATCTTACAGCGTGAACTGAAAAGGAGTGGGAGTAATAACCGGAATTAAAGACGGGAAAGTCAAGAAGATTTTTAACAAGGGCTCTGCATGGTTTGTCCGGAGGATGGGTGAAGGAAAATCGGCTTCTGAGGTATGTGGGAGAGGAAGGGTTGTGCAAAATGTTATAGAGGACACATAACAATCGAGTGTTCCTTCGAAGTCGAATAGGAAGCCACTTGAGTTGCTTACGAAACTGAGATATACGGTCAAATTTCTTGAGCCCAAATATGAAACGGATACACTGATTTTGCAAGCGCTCAAGTTTATTAAGAAGCTCCTCTGTAGCATCCAAATAACAGGCATCTGCATAATCAAGGAGAGGTAGGATAAGAGTAAGCACGAGTGATATTTTAGCTTTAAGGGGTAAGAAATTTTGTAGACATTTAAGCGAATGCAAAGTAAAGTAGACCTTGCGACTAACTTCAGCGATATGCGTGGTCCATGTTAAATGGTGATCAAATATGACGCCTAAGTTTTTGACAGTATTGGCAAAGGGTATAGGAACGCCATTAAAACAAACAAAAGGTAGTGATGTAAATTCTAATCTATTACGCAAATGCCTACTGCCTATTATGATGGCCTGAGATTTCGTGGGATTAACTAATAGTCCGAAGGATGCAGACCATTCAC